TCTCCAGATCGTTAAACGCTCTTCAGTCATCAGAGCAGATACAGTCAACACTAAGCTGACTGAAATGCACGCATTACAGATGACAATCCATGAGTAAAAAACACGATCAAGTTACAAGCTTTTGTGTTCATGAAGGAATCAGCGTTATATTATCTATCATATGTCTGTTATCAATTCAAAGTTTTAAAGTTTTCATGGATTAAAGCAGAACTTCATAGTAAGAGGTTCTTGCTATCTGTGGAGTTACAAATGACACTGCATGTCATTTAAACTTTACCTATCAGCAGTACAATATGGGACTGTTGGTACCTGTGGTGAAATCCACTGTTTTCCTGAGGTGAAAAAGAACTGTTTCATATCCAGATCTGCCCGTTCACTCACTATTGGTTCTCACACTGATTTGATAACTACACGACTGTAAAAGGCTAAGGAGCAGGCACCTCTTGCTACTTGCTAATCAAGTGGGAATGGTGCTAAATAAATGTGACTTTAAAAACTATCAGATGCTTTATTTAAATGTCCATATTCTTTAAACTTTGGTTTCTACTACCCTTCCTGTTTGCCTTGTTTTGCCTGCTCTGACATTGGGCCTTTTTTCATTCACTTAGTTTCCAGTTACTCTTATAATCTTATCCTCATTTCAGGATTGTGGTTTTGCAGTGGAGTCTTCATTTCATGCCCTGGGGCAGAGAGGATTTCATAATGAAGGTGCAGTTTACAGCGACCCGGTGCAGTTAAATGCAGAGGGCTCCGTGTTATCTAAAATACTGTGCAATGATCACAATCATAGCTTAAAGCAAACAATTTTAATTCAACTTTAAACTAAACGTGAATCAGTAAGAGTTGCTTTCTTAGTGGTGTTTGCGTGTTGCACCCATGAAGTTATGAAAAATAGTTGTAGCCACTGTGATATCACTTGTTGACTTCATGATTTTGCATTTTAATGATTTTTGGGATCACACGTTATCATCCGTGAGTTAAAAAGCAGACGAATAAAACCCAACAAGCCAGAATATTTATTGTGTCATCGATTAAAATGCTCTAAAAGGCTCCAACGCCCAAACACACAATCAATAAATAATGTTTAGTGACCTGAAGTAGTGGATGGTTTATGTTAGAGGCTGTAAACATGCTTTGTAATGCTGGATATTTTAACATGGAACTCTAGAAGGGCCAACCTCATTGTGGCCTCAAGTGGTCATTAGAGGAACAGCAGTTTGTGGCGCTGCGTTGTCTTCATTTTCCCCCTCTTGTTAAAAAAACAGAGACACGTCCTGAAGCAGGAAGATATTTTTTCTTTTACTGACTTTAATCTAATTTTTCTACTTCCATCAGAAAGTGGCAAAGACAGCAGCGGTGGACCGTCTGACCGACACGTCCCGTTACACTGGATCACACAAGGAGCGCTTCGACGACAGCGGCAAGGGCAAAGGTCGCGAGGGTCGTGAGGAGATTGTGGAGAACACAGGCTACGTGGGAGCATACAAGAATGCCGGGACGTATGACACAAAGGTGAAACCTGAGAAATGAGTGAGCCGGAGGCAGCGCCCCCTGCTGGGAGCTGACTGGAAGCACAGCTCCCCAACAGCACTTAGTCTGGACCAAACCTTGAACTTTGACCCTTCTATGTCTGTGTGGATGCCTGTGTGTTTGCACTGGACAGAGCTTTATGTTCATTCTGATTTGCAGATAAACATGTGGATCTGACAGAGGTGAGGTATTGGCCTCATATCAACTCATCAGCGCCCCCCTTAGGCTGAAATATTCATCACACATCTGGACTTTTTGTTCATTCTCGGTGCCCTCATTCAGAGCAAGGAGGTGGGTGATGTAATCAGTACCTGCTCCGCTCAGTGATGCTAATCCAGTCTGCAGCATGTGACTCAGTGTTCAGCTCAGTAATAATGAGCTGTTTCTCTGACCTGGCTTCTCCTACTGTGCTTTCAACCCTGTCCAGAGCCTCATTCATGTGATTCAAATTCTTTCAGTCTCCCTATGAAGGCACCAGTGGTGCTGCTAATCTGATTATCTTTATAGCTTTTATTTGGTTACACAGAAGCAGACTTAAAAACAGGAAACAGGTTCTGCATTTTCTGGAAGTCATTTTAAATCTAATGATACACGTTTAAGTTTGTTGACTAAATTCCATCTCTGAGGATAACTGCACACACTTTGCTTCCCTTTGAGTCAGTAGCGCCCCCATGGGGAGGCTTTTGTATTTGTCCTGCTGAATGTCCACTCATGATACTATGCTATCACAATAAGTCACCTGTGATAATGATGGTATCACGATACAGCAACTCTGTGATATTTGACACAATGTGCAACAATCAACGATGCAGAGAAAAATGTATCTATTCTCTGCTTTCATCTTTAATAACACAAGAATTCATTTAACGCTGTCCACACTGTTTTGGTTCACTGCAGTTTAGGGAATGTCTCTGCTCCCTTTTCCATTTCCATGAGGAGTCATGAAATGCTGATTGCAGGAATCCATTTAGCACACCTGCATGTTTGAATAAAAATCTCAGTATGTGCAGCTGCTGTACCAATAACATCACAGGAGGAAGCAATAAAATATCAGGACTGAAGAAGCTTCTTGGATGAGAGGTGAGACGTCTTCACGAAACTTAAAGGAGCCCAATCGCTTTATTCCCAACCTCCTTAGACTCTATATATCGCATTATTGAGACTTCACTCCTCTGCTGTTAGCCTGAATAACTATAGTGACGGCTTCATTGCTCACCTCCTTCTATGAGGGTCATGTGTCTGAATGGGGCTGTAGTTTGTGTGTAAAGTCGTTTAGCAAATTAAATTCTCACTGCCTATTACAAAAAAAGGTGTTGACTTATGAATACTTATAGTATATATATATAGTATATTCTATCTCCTGCAAAAATAAAGTCAAACAAACCAAAAAGCTCAATCATCTCTGGATCCACATCAGATTAAGATCAAACTGTTTCTGCAGCGCTGAGGTTTCTGAAGCCATGTTTGCATTTTTTTTTTATCTTTCTTTGTTATATATAATTTTTCAGCCTGATTTTTCCTCTGCAAAACAAATATTTTACATCTTCCCCAAGAGCTTTACGTGTTAATTATTGTTGTTGATGCAGTGTAAGTAACTTTAGTGAACAAATAAAAGCTTTAAAATGGTTTTCTTGTTTCTTGTTTTTGTCCCAAAAGGTATTTGCAGGTCAGTTTTATTTAAAGTAATGAGAGAAGACAGTCAGGGGGATGAGGAATAAAGATTTCTGCTGCAAGAGTTCAGCTTTTGCATTCTTTTATTTACATTTTACAAGCCGTCCAAACTTGTTTGGGAGCAGG